AAGGCGATCCGTCGCAGATTGTCAGGCATTAAAATCCAGCTCAGATGTGACGGCTGCCGGACCCGTATGATATTTCTAGTGAGTTATGTTTGAGTGTTTTTGGAAAATCGTCAGTCTGTTGTTTACATTGTAAGTGGTTCCCATTAATTCTTTTATTTTTTTATTGATGGATGTTTGATGGTGCCCGTTTTATAAATAGGATACAGAGCCACAGTCATCCAACCAAGTTATCCATTACTCCGCACGGACAAGACCTCGTGTGCGTCAGTCTGCTTCACAGGATGTTGTTTACCAGCAGAAGATCCATTCGTACTTGAAAATTGAATCGGTATACGTTGCATGAAGCTCAGACTAACAAAATCAGCTACTTTTTCTCTTGATCATTCGTTTTTGTTCTTGGTGAGGCCTTTTCAACAGATCAACTTGTGGAACAACACTTTATCAGGTCACCAATAAAGAGGAACTGGCCAGAGACACAGCTGCTATCACATCCAAAGCACCTTGTGATAGGCAGGGGGAGTCTAATAAATAAACACAGATAGTATCACTAGTCTCCAGGTGCACCACAAAATACCTTGAACCGAGTGCTTTAGTTCAATCCGTTCTTCGGGATGATCGGACCACCAAAACTAAGGGAAGGTTCAAACAGACGAAGTCAAGGGCTGACAGCAGTTGACCAAAGCTGTGCCCTAATACTCAGCTAGTCGTAACGCGTATCTTTCCTGAGGGTGGTCTGGGAACAGCACAATATATGAATGGTTGTCTATTTTGTATTTTCTCTGCTGACGAATCCCACTTTGAACGGTAAGCCAACTTCTTTCTCGCCTCGGTCTTCTGTACAGTATTTCTACTGCACCGAAGTCGATGTACACTGTCTTGTCGTTTAAGGGAGATATGTCAGCAGATGTAATACAAAGCACACTCTAGTGATGTTAGGAAGACCTTCTATGCGGCAGAACTCAATGTTTTGTTTACATCCAAGCCATACGTTTCATGATTGCGTTTGATCCGCAAAACAAACTTGTTCTGCTGTTAAAATATGCCTGTTTCTCATTCCTTTATCTTCTGGTTACAATATACCAAGACTGATGTAGAAAACAAATTTTCATAAATGTTCTGATGTTGTGGCAAACATATCATGAATCAAATTTGTTTTTGTTGTATGGCCGAATTCCTGTAGGGAAACAAATAAGCCCCTCGCATATAGTGGCTATTGATCATCTGCAATTTATTGTCGAACTAAATGGGGTAACACGCAATAGCCGCTAATTTTGGTTGATTGTTTGAAGATCCATTGCTGATGGTTGTGAGGGCTTTAGGTTAAGAGAAACAGGTGGAATGGTTAACTGTCTTTATAGTGTTGCGGATTTGTTTGCTATTAGTTCAGTGAACTGCTTTTCCTGACAAATATATACAGTTGGTCAGCCTATTTCAATCGAAAATTCTCCGGTTGCATTCACGTTGTGCGCCCCAAACATTTGGTGGTAGTCATGGTTGAGGGGAATAGTCATAAATGGTGTTTTTCGTTTCGCTTCAAATCCAATGAAAGGCGATCAGGTTGTGATCGATTTATCTTCTTTTTTATATTAACACCCCTCAGTTCAATTTGGGCACAGGATCATCCAAACATCTGCGCACTACGCCTGGATGCACGCGTACTCACCTGTTCTCGGATTCGAACAGCTCACAACGATAGGGCCCGAACGGAGTCAGGTAACAGAGCATTCCTGATATATTTCATTACCTTTCCTCGGGTTCGAATGCACATCTTGTTCGTTCGTTTGTTAACCCCGCCTGTGCCTCCTGGTACTGCATCCTACAGCACATTCCACCCTCACATTCACGTCAAAAGCGCACTCCCGTTTCCTCTGCCGTGTTCACAACATGCCGCGAGACGAACTGCTTTGTATTCAGCGTGGATTTTAATGCTGTTCATAGTGCGACCGTTTTTGCAGTCCTTGAAACATTTCTGTGACCCCCCCCCGTCCTACCTCCATACATCATGGACATATGTGTACAAACGAACGCGTTGTTTGGCTTTTGCCCATCTCTCTCTCTCTCTTCTGTTTATTTGTTCTTGATTACTTATCTCTGTTTTTTATGAATTACAGAATGGTTCATTAGGTCAATACATATTCATCCCCCTATTTGGATTGTGTATATGTGTTTGTTCGGTATGCGTGTGGGCGGGCGAGCGAATCCGTAGTCAATCGATCAGATGTTACAGTTGGATCGATCATGTTGCTGCCTTCTCCTCCCGTGATCCATTCCAAAGATCGGTTCATATTCGGGGTTAGAACCGTTTTCACCAACTCCCGCTCTGCAGCACTTCTGCTCTTCTCCTCGTTCTTCATCCGAACCGGCCCGTTTGTTATTCGAAACCCAATTAGAACATTGGCTCACGGCTATGCTCGGATCACTTTTGCACATTTATGTATTCACACTCACATCCGTCCGACGGAACCACACACACACATCAGTTTATTTTTATTTTTTTCCATACTTTTTCTTTCAGGCTTTTCCACAATTCTCAGCTACTCTTGCTATTTGTGTAATTATTAATGTTGATATTTTTGGTTTCAATTTCGTTAGGATTTGAATAAATCGGTAAAGGCGGTTGCTGACCCGAATAGTTATCGCTTTGGGGTGTACATTCTTCCGAGCCGTGACGTAACGATAATGAAGCGGTGCAGTTCCGAACAACGATGACTCGTCTTCCCGTTAGAGAGAGAGACAGGGAGCTGATCACTTAATCGGTGTTTGTGCTGCAGAGAGGGGAAGTGAAACTATTCCACCATCTCTGTGTTCATTCAAGGATCGATCACCTCTTTTGTATGCGACATGTACCCTCTACAGAATCTAGTCGACCAACTGTACTCTCAGTCGGTCACTTTTGCGTATATGTTTCCAGATCTGCCAACTGACAGCTAACCGGTCTGATTTATTTATTGTATTTCAAAGACCTTGGGAGTGGTCTTATTTTGGCTACCCGGCTCTCCTCTAGCAGCCAGAACGGATGGAATCGGAGCAAATACAGGTTTCCCACCATGAGTATGACTACAAAGTTAGAAAGGCTAGAGCGATAAGCTCAACACGTTCGCCGAGTAATCCGCATTTCTGTTGATCCACGCGTAGGTTTCTCCGGTGATGACGAAGTACAATCTTCCTCTCATACCCCCGTGAGGTAATATTCCCCCGCAGGCAGAAAGAAAAGGTATCGTCGCAGAGGTCGGTCTGGATGAACGTGAGGACTTTCTTTCAAAGCTACTCTTTGCGTGTCGGGCGATGAACTGTTGTCTCTTCA